ACCTTCTTTGTTTTCGAAACCCGTTCTGTAACTCGCCCAGTATGCCCTCGCAATCTACCCATTCCTCCAGTCTGTTCTTTATAATCTGCATTACCAACCTGTAAATAACCGGTGTCACGGTTATAGGACGATAATTCCTAATATCAGACTTATCTCCCTTTCCCTTATATATCATACTCATCCTACTAAGCCTCCATTCATCTGGAATATTTCCTTTTGTTATCATGGTACTCACTACCTCCCTTAGTTTTGCCTTAGATTTAGGACCCAAATTCTTCACCAGCTTGATAGGGATACCATCTGTGCCTGTCGACGTGCCACTAGGGACTCTTCGTTCCGCCTTTTCCCATTCTCTTTGTCCAAAATCCGCGATGTCACAAACTGGACTGCTGCTTCCTTCGGTTCTCCTATCTTCCACATGTACCCGTTCCCGAAATTTCTCCTCCATCACTGCTCCTATATATTGTATCGCATCATCTCCCTCTAATTGATCTCCCTGATGCGAGAGTATAAACCTCTGTCTAGCTTGCGTTGTTTCACCGAGTGAGTTCAAGTGCTCCCAAAACTTCTTGGCAGCATTTCTATCTTTCTTACTTACATTACTCATCCATTCCTCACCCTTTCTCTGAATTTTCGCATTGATCAAACTGGATGCCTCTCGGCGACATGTTACAAAATTGTCCCATTTTCTTTTTACTTCCGTTTCGGACTCCCCACTACGCTTGGAATACCTGTGTTCTCTAGAGGCTTCCTGACGTTTTTGTATCGCTTGCTTCACTTCTTTGTCCCACCAACTTTTTGGTCTATGTCCTTGCTTCCCCTTTCGTTTACTCTTAACTTTGTCTAGTTCTAGAGAAAAAAGCCTAGTTAGGCTCTCATAGGTCCAATCTGTATGCCATTGCCCTGAAACTGCTGCCTCTATTCTTTCAACAACTATTTCCAACTCTTTGTCGCTGCAGAAAGTTTGCTTTGAATTATGTTGTCTAGTTTCAGCATTTACTTCTCTGGCAAAATTCAGCTTAATACGTTTGTGATCACTACCAAGACTTTTGGAACCTTCTTCATCTATTTTCATTACTTGTAACTTACCATATATTTTGTGTGACATGAGTACGTAATCTATAGTTGAATGCAGATTGCCAGTTTCCCAAGTTATGTGCCCGTCACACTTCTGACTGGTATTACATAAAACTAAGTCATGTTTTTCCACCAGTTCTAGTAATATGCTTCCAGTTGAGTCCGTATACCCATCCAGACCCTCAATATGGGCATTCATGTCTCCCATAATAATTATTTCGGAGCCTTCGCCTAGTTCACTAATGTCTCTTGATATGCAATCAATCATTTTTCTGTTTTCCTCTTTAGCACCTGTCCCTGTCCATAAGTAAACCACTCCAAGGACTGTTGATTCCCCAGCGACTTTTCCTTTCAGCCACAAATGTTCGGCGCACTCCTTTCTGATCCTTTGAAAGTTCATATTCTTCTTAATAAATGCTCCAATTCCACCTCCCTTCCTCGTTCCCTCCATTCTGTTGCATTCTTCCCACACATAGTCAGGGTTGCAAGGTGGCTGCTCCATGTCTCTGAGATGTGTTTCCACAAACCCATACACCATTAAATCCTCCTTTCTTAGTTGCTCCTCCACCTCTTCCCATTTTAACCTATTTCTACCACCCTGCATGTTAATATATCCAATGTCTGATTGTGCTGATTTTTTATACCTGTTCTTACGTTTTCTCCTCTTTTTAACCCTGGGTGCCTCTCCTGACTTTGTTGGGTTTTCAGTTACTTCAGTGCCCCCAGGGCCCTCGGTCCCCCCAAAAAAGCAGTCACCGTGCGGCCCATCCTATCCCCCACCCTGTAACCCGTGGCCTCACTGTAGTGAATGCCATCTGCAAAAGGGCGGGAGCCAGCCTCGTACACTTCTCTGTTTACTTCCATTACGTCGTACCGAAGCTGTCGACTCATACCCTTAATTACTCCGTTGGCTTCGACAACCCTCCTCTCCGTTAACCCGGACTGCCCCCGAACTTCTGGAATGGTGCACACAACCACATGCACATTCTCAGACACGTCCCTCAGCTTACGTATTCCCACGTTTAGCTGCTTTCCGAGGTTCTGGCTCCTGCCCTTCAGCACATCATTAAGCCCCGCATGAACTATTACTAGGTTCCTTCCCTCCCGGTTATCCCACACCCTCTCACGTGCTGCGGTCATAGCATTCACCATACACTTCCCTGGCTGGACCTCTACGGTTACCCTCTGGTCTCCCTTCACCCTGTTATGTACACCCCTCCTAACCCGTGCTACGTTAGAGCTCCCCACTACCAGTACCCTAGATCCCCCTGGTGCCTGCGCGCCTTTGTCCTGCGACTTATCTCCTGTCACCTGACTGCCCGACGCCTGCTGCTCGAAGGCGCCATTGAGCTGAGGTTCAATCAGCTCTCCAGCGTCGTCGAGCCCGCCTGCCAACAGGCCGGACTCCCGACCACCAGGGACCCCAGCCTGCAGACTGGTGGTTCGTCCCGCTAGAACTGACACTTCCTCCTTTCTTCCCTCGCTACTCTCACTCGCTCGAATTACCCCTTCCAGGCGCTCTACCCTACTGTCACACTCCCTCTTACGCTCCTCTAAACCCGCCTTCCATACTTCCCCCAGCTCTTCCGCCTGCTTCTCGAGGCCGACCCGCTGCTCCCTCTCATGATTAAGCTGCCTAGTCAGCTCCTCTACCTGGGCCTCGAGACCCACCCGCTTCTCTCCTTCTGCCTTAAGCTGGGCCTCAATCTCCCGAAATCTACCCTCCCATTCCCCAGTTACCTGCTGAAGCTTCACACAAAGCCGACACTCGAAACTCACCTCCGCCGCCACCTCCAGGCTCCCGAAACCCGTCTCCTCCAGCTGTAACACCACCTCCCACACCCCTCGCACTGCACCAACTCGTCCCCACCCTTGTCATGCCGACCCAAATCTAGACCCATGTCTAGACCGGGAACAAACCGGCGTCAGCATAGGGGCGTCAGCATAGGCAGCGCCATCTGTCGACAGCACGTACCACTAATCCGCACCCGCGTGCCACGGCGGCCGGCTAGCTCTGATTAGTCAAAAGATAAATTTATTTATTAAAAGAAAAAAAAAAATACTGTAGGTATTTAAATAAATGTTTTAATATATTTTAATAATGCACTAAATGTTCATTTAGGTGAACACATTTTGTCACTAATTATATTTTCCAATTAAAAATTATTTAGGTAATTAAAATTTTTATATTATTTTTATAAATATATAAATGTACCCCAGTAATTAAAAATTTCCTATTTGTATAAATCTAAAAATGTTAGTGTTTTTAGTTTTCTTCATTAGCAAAGGTCAATACACCCCCAACTTGTCCAAATTGTTGCCCAGTGTGAACTGGGAACGGGAAAGGCATTTGAAGTCCGACTGGGAATCGCTCCAACCAGTTACTTTCCTAACTGGTTGCAGTGCACTCCATTCCCAACTGGGAGTCAAACCAGTTGACTCCCAACTGGGAATGGTTAAAACCAGTTGACTCCCAACTGGGAATGGTTCAAACCAGTTGACCCCTCAGCTGGCCCCAGTTGAACTCCTATTGGTCCCAGTTGATTCCCAGTTGGGACCAGTTAGTCCCAGTTGCTTCCCAGTTGGGACCAGTTAGTCCCAGTTGAAACCAGTTGAGGTGCCAACTGGTCCCAGTTAGAAATTTTCGCCTGGGGCGCGCTTCCCTTTCCACTGTTTTGTCCGCAGACGGACGACGTCAGCTTTTCCCTATCGTGAAAGGTGTAATTCTAACGCTTAAAAAGATGGATTCATCCGATGGAAATGCGTTAGCATTGGCTATTTCTCACCCACTTTTTTACCCTTTCCACTCGCGTAAAACCCCTTGCCATTCCTTTATCATCGTCGGTCCCCCCTTTCTATGGGAAGTTGAAAACTTTCCGCCTATGCCATATAAACCACGAAATCATGAACGCTCTCTCATTCTAGACATCCCCATGATCACCCAAGCTCGTCTCGCCACGGTACGATCGCTCTCATGCAACTCGGCTACTCCCACGCTACTCTCGCTCTCACCCCCGGCCCTTTGACCTTCCACCCTGCATGCACCTGCGACATCGTTACGGACGACGGTGACCAAGGCGAGTCCGTCCGTGACTATCTCGTCGTCGCTAAAGCTGGTCGCCAGCGGGTCGCAGCCAAAATGACCAGCTTCCAACGTCTCTTGAAAACAATCACTCTCATCGCTGCTGCGATCAGTGTCGAAGTTTCGACGAAGCGAGCGATGCCGCAGACGTAATCGTCACGAACCGCGTGCTCGAAACGCGGAAGGTAAACGAGGATACTGAAGGGCTGAAGTTCGAGACGCCGAGAGATCCAAGAGTGTGAGTGAGTACGTGCAACAAAGGGACGCTGCGCTCTAGGCAGCTGGCGCCGCCAACCCAGCAACCATGGGAACCTTTTCGAATGGGGTGGATCCGAGGGTCCCGCATATAAATCGATTCATTTGCGAAACTATAGCACCATTTTTAAAACAAATATAGCGGGAATATAGGCACATACAGTGGGTCCTAGCAATATGGATATCTCATATAGAATTTTATTCGTGGCGTGTTTTAACCCCATTTAAGCTGAGACTTCAGCCGAAGCTACAAGCGCTAGCTAGCCCGTGCTCCAAGCTTCGAGATGTTTTCTAGCACGAGTGCTCGTTCTGTGGGAGAACGTTTCAAAGCAGCGACCTCGTGCTATCGAGCTTGTGGCATTTTGCTTAGCCAGTCAGAGTATTGCAGAAGGGAAAGCAAAGGAAGCGTTCGGAACTGAGTTTTACGTTTGACAAATTGTCTCATTTTGAACTTCCCGCCGCCACCTTCCCATGAGGCTCCACCGGATACCCCAAATAAAAACCGGATATCACACTGGACTCTTCCATTCTGATTGCAGGGTTAGGAAGGAAGGAGAAACAGAAGCCACCTCGTCTTGCGCTTGGGCTTTTGGCAACGGCTTTTGGGCTGTTCACTGTGTCTTTGTTGCAGTGAATCCACGGTGATCCGACGTCGTCTGATCCCAGACTCGGCGCTCGTGGTCACTGCCGTGACAGCCGCAACAATGATGTCTAGATCTGTACGTGCTGAGACTCGTAGTCGTGCCAAGGATGACTTCAAGAGGGTCATGCAAGCCATCGACAAAGTGAGAAAATGGTAGGTTAAACCAAACACCGCTGTTCTTTTTTTTTCTTTGCATAGTTTCTGAACAACAATTCTGTGTTGTTTTAGCTGCTCGTTGATGAGCTAAGTTCTGTGCAGCTAACGCAAACCTACGAAGCCTGAGATAGAATTGGTGGTGCCGCTTCTTCGTGTGAATCGAGAAAAATATATTAATGTGCGACGGTATCCATCTTGGACGCTTCGTGCTGCCTCGGCACTGTACCCCTTCTAATGGCACCTGTTGCGCTGATACTGTGCTGCCGCAGGAATCTGTCGAATAAACTTGGCATTTGGAAAGGGCAGAGATTTCTCCTGATCTGTTCTTGTGCAGTGAAGGCACAGCTTGTACGATGTCTTTCTTTCATTACCTTGAGGGCCTCTATGTGAGGCATTACATGGTAGCGGGTTTACATTATTTTGACTTCTCTCATACAAACATTATTCGAACAACTTAACAACTTCTTGCATAAGAAAAATGTTGTGGTCATTTCTTGTCACCAAGGTGGAGGGCACTGTTTCAATCAGAAATGCAGGCCCTGTGGTGAAGATTTGTCCGTAGATTGTAGTACAGTTCGTGCATGAAAGAGAGCCGGTCAATTTTTCTGCGAGTGTTGATAGTTTAGAGAGAGATGGACATAAAGCGGTCCATATCTCCAAACTTCATTTTTCCCAGCAACAAGGATTCCGCCTTTTCGGGGTTCGTTTTTCACTAAAAATTCAAAGTTTATCAGGGTTTTTTTTTTTTTTTTTTTTTTTTTTTTTTTATTATTAATTTTTTGAAATTTAGAGTTTAATTTTAATTTAATTTCAATTTTTTATAATTAAAAATAAATATTATTTGGACATAAACATGCCGTACATTCATAAGAACATCACTTGTATCGAATGATATGTCTGCAACAGCATTTGCCATTGCCACCCTTAGCATTGGAAATACAAACTGTCCCACGACGAATCTTGCACAAAAGTTTTGCTTAAATTAACGTTAAAACTTTGAGATAACTAAAGCCCCTGGACTTAGTCAGGTTCAGCTGCCCCTTCCCTCCTAAGAAATTTACAGGCTCATAGCTTTCACTGTTATAAGAACACAACCCCTCCTCCCACTAAAGTACAAAAATACTATGATCCAAACTGGAAACCGAAAGAGTGGTTTTTGTCGTTACCCATACGAACATAGACCCGTTGTTCTGAACAAACCTTAATGAGATAAACGGGAATCTCCCTTTCGTGAATGCGCCGAGAAACTGAGAAAAAGGAGATGAGAGCGTGCGGTGACGTCAGAACGCCGAGCTCTGGTTGGAATGATTAGAGGTTAGACCTAGAGTCCTAAAGTGCAGTGGAGACAAAGGCAGCTAGCTAGCTTTAGGTCTACCCTCTAATCATTCCAACCAGAGCTCAGCGTTCTGACATCACTGCACGCTCTCGTCTCCCCCTCACCCTAAATTTTCTCGGTGCATATTCCGAGATTTTAAAGGAAACTGAAATGTCCTTGCCTCAGGACCACTGTCACTGTGCCCTCACAAAATTTATTTTTAGAATACCATATCTTTTGCTTTTTATTTTGCCATCCTGAGCTCAGAATTCCGAGTTTTTGGAATAAATCCTATTTGTCAAAAATTTTACCGGGGAGTGTTCTTCCGAGTTTTTCGGACGCATTTCAAAACACTAGACCCTACTAATAACCTATGAACAAGGACCGTTCCTGGGTTATTACGTCGGCCAGGGATGAATTGGATCATTATTGGTTTGTTGTTTCTGTTTCAGGGAGAAGAAATGGGTTACAATTGGAGACACGACCATGAAGATCTACAAATGGGTGCCAGGTAATCATTTTTTTTTTAAGGATTCAATTAAGTTTTTAATATTTGTCTACTGTATTGTTCTCTAGAACTTATTGTACAAAAAAAATTCAACCTTTCCCCACTCGTGAAAAAGGAAGACCAGTGGAGCTGTACTCGATACACTGTGTGCTTCTTCTTCGTCATCGTCTGTTTTTCGCACTGTTTCCTACGATGAATTCCCACCAACGCGCCCAACTATTCATTCTTCTATTATAGCTGGAAAGATTGCTACCATCTACGAGCGACGGCGGAAACCATACTGGTTGCGTGCTTGCCGCCGTCGCTTATAGATGGCGGTAGCTGTCCAGGTAGGTTTGTGTCTACATACATGGACAGAATCCTAGGGAACCTAGCCCTTAACAGCTCCTCTGTAAAACACAAACTCTGACTGAATTTTGTTTGTTTTAGGCTTGTTCTATGTGTGTGTTTTAGGCTTGTTCTAGCCTAATAAGATTGGTCGTTTTACCCTCACATCCCAAAAATATGTCATATTTTTATTTTCCAGTTCCAAGCTCCGACCAGGTATGTCATTTGACCCTATCTCTACCAACTAGCTGAGCAGAGCACTTGCTCAACATAAACCTGTCTGGCAAATTTGAGAATTTAAGAGAAGCAAGCACTAGGCACAGCCGGTGTGTCCCCATTTTGCTATTGTTATGATGCATGTGTCACGTGACATGGGTTTCAAGAGCTACCCTTCTCCAAAGGCAAATCTGGAGTCCTTGTTTTACCATGATTAAAGAGTTCTCTTAACGTCAGCCCTTCCGTTCAAATTCCAGGCTAGGATTACATCAACTCGCACGAGAGCGCTGCTTAGTTTTCTTGCCACATCATATATTCCTTATTTTTTACTTCCTGTTTCCTGTCTGCCTCAGTTTAGTTGGCACATTTTGGCCCTAGCAGCTCTTGCATCACAAAATTCCACTCAATCTGTCAAAAATGCTTCAGTTTACTCAATTAATTTGAAAAGCTTTATCCTCTATGTCTCTCAGTCCAGATCAAAAGGAAAGTCACAAACTGTGTCGAACAACAAGGAAAACATTGAGCAGCCGGTGAAGCATGAAATAAAGAATGGTGGTGAGTAGACGAGTTGCTTTCTTTTAATTGGTGCTTCTAAGGTACCTTTCCTTTATATGTGTACCTTGACCTAAGCTCAAGTTAGTGCCACACTCTGCATGCATTTTTGCATGCCCAGCACATTCCCAATGAAGCAATAGTTTAATGTAGTTAATATTCACTTAACTCTCTGGTTCAATTTTGCCAGGGTGCGCCACCGTCGAGCTCTTCGAGGCCGCAGTTTGCTTTTTTTTTTATTTGGCTGGTGAATTGTGGCAGCTTGACTGGGTGGTTGTGTAGTTGGGCTTATGTTGAAACAATTTCGTTGTTTATTTAAATGCCATTTTGTTGATTATTAAAAAAAATGCCTATCGTGGCAGCTTGTTCAACTTTATTTTGGGGCCGCTGCAGGAAATATTAGCACCTCATATCCATTTGAGGGATGGGGTGTTCTAACCGCTTCCGGAAATACTCTACCGTTCAAAAACTTCGCAAAGGTGGGCTTTTTCCTCATCTCAAAAGTGGTCACTGGCCAGTGCAAGAAGACAGCGGCATGGTTTTCCGTCAAATCCGGCATGCAGACATTGACGAGTCTGCCGCTGATTACACAGAGATCACTTCGTTCCTTGTCAGTAAACTTGTTGCTTAAATGTGGTACTTCTCAGTGTCCGTAAACTCTACATGCAGAAACATGCTGCTGTTGCGCACCATATCATTGTCTCGTAGGACGAGGGGATAGATGCCGCAGCACCGCTTTCCTTTGTATAATTATCTTTCTCACGCCCAGAGGGTAGCTCCGCAAAATCGCTTGGCCGGATCACTCCCATGGGAAGCCACGCCGTGCGTTTGTGCAGAGAAACGACCACCGTGGGCGCAATGAGCACAGCAAGGAGCAGCACGGAGCAAACACGGTCACGTGGCCATATTCAGAGCCGTATATGGGGAGAGTTTGGCCAGTCTATGATCTCGCCGCCAGAACGCGCCCCTCACAAGTGAGCCAATCAGCTCCCGGCGCAGAACGAGAGGCGTGAGCGCATGCGCGTGAACTCCCGGCTGCTCCAAGCTGAGTGGCTAGGGCCGCCATTTTCACTCCCTCGCCCGGCGGAATGCATGGGATCGACATGCAAATTTCGGTTCTTTCCTTTTATTTGGCAGGCTCTGGCAAGAAAATGATATAGTGCTATTCCTCGGTGGCTTAAAAAGCTAACGAATGAAGTTTCTCCACGTTTGGACGCAAACTTCTATTCGGGCGAAAAAGAAATAAGCCCGTAGCGGACGACGCATAGCCTCAACAGTGCTCGGCGCACCGACAGCGTTGCGTCAAAATGGCGGTCATCTCCTCTTCGCTCCCATCTTTCTCTCTCGCTCCTTCGGCGCTCTCCTCCCTTCCCTTCACTTTTCTCCTCTCTGGCGGCTTCGTCGCCACACCCACTGGCCAAACTCTCCCAATATGCGGCTCTGGCCATAGTGACTGTGTACGCTAGCGACAAAAACTAGCAGCAAATGGTCCAACCGCAAAGCACCAAAGTAGGAACGGAACCCTGATATTGTAAAACGCCTCGAAAGCTCTAAACTTTTAACAATCCCGACTTACATTTGGCTCGCACAATGTTATGCGGAATGAGAGATATAAAGAGACGGCAGAGGTGGCAGCCGCGGCGTTCGACGCTAGCGTACCTTGCAGGCGACGTCAAGTGAATAACACCTATGCCGATAAGAAAAATTTTGCCCACAACAAAAACTTCACTGACGGAGGAGTTCCAGCCAACCAAGTGCATTGATGTAAAATCTGCAATTGTCTTATTTATTTAGTACACACTGCAAGGCTGCATATATACTTTTTTCAAAACCCCATCTAGCGACATTGGCAGTTGCCATTTCTCAGGCACGAACTGCGTGATTGTATCGAGAGTCCTCGCTAAATGCTGATGCAGCCCTTGTTCTCTATGCAAACACCGACGAAGCTCTTGTGTTCAATACATGGTCAGAGCATGTACTCTTAGAATGGCGGACTCAAATAATTAGCGCAGCAGCTGCCGCCTAGCACGCACTTTTGAGAAGTGTTTATTAGCCCGAGCAGGAGCAGATATAAGCAAATATCTCTGTCAGTGGCAAGGTGTCTAGGGAGGTCACCATAAAATTTTCTTCTTTCGTGAACAGATTCACAGTCACTGGTTGGCAAAGACAAGTCCAACTCTAACATTTCTGAAGGAATGGAGGAATCATACACAGGTGAGCGACTCCCATGTTGCATGTCCCTCCCTTATCTTCCGATGAGCGTCGGGAGCCTTCAGTTTTTCTGAGTATCTTTCCTGCAGCCCCTTGTCATAGGCAGTGCAGGGGTGGGACAGCTGCACCAATTGTGCCATTTTGATACATTCACAATTTTCTGTGCCTACCAGCACCAAAAGTGTGGAGTCAACTGAAATTATGCCACTCTGTACCAAAGATTGCGGTGGCATTGGTTTTAGCAGAAAGTGAATACTCGATTGACAACCTTGCCTATTTCATTGCCAGGTGGCGCAAGCCTTCGCCTGATTCCTTGGTTAAAGAAAGGGACACTGACACCCAAAAAAAATTTTGTTTTATTTTTGACTACCTACCCAGTCAATATTTTCCTACACCGTCAATTATATTTTTAATAAAGTCGAAAAACGCAACTGCTCGAAACTGAAACTGGACAGCGGAGGAAGAAATATAGAGGAGGAGAGGGTTGGGTGGAAGTCACGTGGCTGTGCAACTTTTTTTTTTCTTCAATCAACATATTTGCAGCTTTTTAGAAGCCACAAAAAATTGGTCATCATATTTTATTTCTATTTTTAATATTGAGTGTGTACCTTCAGTGACCCACGACGTTCAATATATTTGGTGGCTGTGTCTAAACCATAGAAAACAGTATGAACCACGGAGAAGAAAGTGAGCAAGACTCAAACCGGCCAGTTCTTGATCGGCAGTTTTTGGGTGGAAAGAAAACGAATTTCGAGCTGCAAATTGTGTTCTGGGTAGTTGGGCTTTCGTATGTCATGTATGAAGAAAAACCCTGGCGAGCATAAATGCCCTGTCAGTGTCCCTTTAAGCCAAATCTGTGTATCAATTCAGCCGATGAATTCCCTGTGTCATACATCGTACATGTACAATGTATGATGCAACATAGCATGTAACATTTATGTTGCCGAGTCGTGCCCCTTCATTTTTTAATCGAAATAATTAGATATCTTTCTGTGTGCAGTTTCAGATATTTCAAAGTTAAGTTCTATTCAATACTTTCCATCACTTGTAGTACAAACCTAGTTTGCTTGAATTGTAACTCATGGTATAACTGACTAAAATGATTTCTTAAAATTATGTCACAGTTACTCCTGGGATGCTCTGAAATATTTTTTTTGATACTGTAGTGCTCCAAAAGTCAGGTTTCTATTGCTTTGAAGTTGCTCCAAAATGTGGATTTTCTACTTATAAGTTGCTCTAAAATCCAATTTTACTGCTCCAAAAATTTCTCTGAAATTAGTTTGGTCTGCCCCACCCCTGAATGGTTTCACCCTCTTTTGCATTTCTATTTCTAGAGAAAAGACTGAGAATGTGTGGTTGTCGCAGTTTCATCAAATAGAGATTGTCGCAGCTGAAATGTCGGCATAGCCATTAATTTATTTTATATGAGAATTCCTATCATCTCACCATTTTCAGCCCCTGTGAAAAAAAGGAAGAAGTAGATAATTCAAACATTCATTTTCAACACTTTCTTTTTTTTTTTTTCTGAGGTGGCTCATTAGGCTGTCTAGTCCAATCCAAAAGGATCAGTCATGTATCTGTTCATCAGGCAGATTAGCCATAAGTTAGCGAAAATCGCTGAAATCAAAGTTTTTGTTGTGAATTCTGAAATTGAGAAGGCAGAACTGTAGGGAGTATTCACTGGATGCCATATTTGTAGGTGCTGTTTAGAGTGCGTGCCCAGAATGAGCTCACATTAATAGGTTGCTAGGGCCGGCGATCTTGATGGTGTGAAAAGCATGTTGCAAAAAAAAAGCTGGAAGCTCGCCATCAGCACGCGCTCAGCATTCGCGCACATAGCTATGGCCGCCAGTGAAAACTCTCTATTATGTCGTTCTCACGCAATCGCCCTCTGGAGAGAAAACCTCACACTCTTGTTTCTTCTCTTTCCTGGGGAATCGCCGGTATGATCAGCTGATAGGTTTCTGAGGCAAAGATTGTCCGCTCGAATTACGAGTCTGTCAGTACAGGGGATACCCCGGTTTCCCGATTCAGCTTAAAGCGTACTAAAGTGGTTTCTGAGATTGTCTATTTGTGGTCATAATCAATCTACGCTCTTTACACATCTAAAAAAAATTAAATTGAGACATGTGCGATTTACCTATTTAAAATGAAATTCAATATCGCGACATACAAAACTTTTTGCGGTTCGACGCTGAAACCAGAGGGCGCCATCGGACGTGCAGAAGCCAATCGTGAGTGTTCGCTTCCCATGTGCATACTGCGGACATTCGAAAATCAGTCCACCTTCAGTCGGCGCCCTTGCCGCGAGGAAGCTGAATGCTCATAATTGGCTGCTGCGCTTTTGACGGTGCCGTCTTTTTTTCTGCGTCGAATCGCAGACAAATGGGCGTGTTGCAATCTTTGCTCCCGTCTTTAATAGCAAAAATGATATGTCTAATCTTGGATTTTTCAGAATTTTTAAAGGCTGTACTTTTGGTTGTGACCATAAATAAATTATCTCAGAAACTGCTTTAGTGATTTCATGATGGAAGTTTGTCTCGAAGTTGGTTCATGGGGGAAGTGCATAGCCGAGATAATGAAGTCTGCGCTGCGTCGTCGCCACCGACAGGGCAGACCCAATGACTAGTTAGTGCTGCATTTTGTGTGTGTGTGTAGCGCTGACACACCGCTGGTGTGGCGCAAAGTCAGCCGTGTGTCCATAGTCCCAACCTAGCACTGCTGGCGTACGTGTGCGCGGACCCTTGGTGCCCCTTTAACCGAAGTGAGCCACTTTGCGACTTGCTTTTTGGTTCAGCGAGCCTTGGTTTCTCGTTTCTCCCAGGGTTCTCGGAGTTCAGCCAGGACTCTCAGGGGGACAGCAACGTTCTGAGAGCGCCGCCGGAAGAGTCAAGCACGTGCATCACGGAGAACAGCAGTGACACCCAGTTCCCAGACTCTCAGACAGGTCGGTGTTGTCGAGCTCTATTGGTGTGCGTCCCACTGAAGAAGGAAAGAGTGCCCATTCCACCTTCCTCCTTGTGGAGGTGGCCCAGGTGGCGCCCAGCCGGGTCGGAGTTCCATTGCAAACTGTTTAATTTTCGAAGCAGGAAAAGAGAAGCAAAGAGCAGATCGCGCGCTCTTGGCACATGCCGTTCGACAGTGTTGCAGGTGTTCGGAGGGCGATGCCACAAATGGCTAGCATATTAGGAACAACACAAAGTGAAGAAAGTGAAATGGAAACTGAACTAAACTGAACATTTTCCCCTCCCTTTTTTTTTTAAGAGCTTAGATACATGAGACAAAGAAAGAGAGAGAGAACATCACAAAGAAAGTCCAATTAGAGAAAAGATAAACATCACCACAAATAGTCTCTCTGCACTGTTACATCACCTCTGTAACCATTAATCACATCAAATGTTTATTTTTTTAAGAGTAACAAACCCAACAAACAAGGTTCAAAGCTTTCAGATTAAAAATTAGGTCTTCAATCAAATTGCGACTTCATGAGCACAATACGATGTGCACTTGTTTACAAGAGAAAAATAATGGGCATGCTTAGTACACTTTACAGAGAGACACGCACATAGTTCACCATGGGTCAGAAAAACAAAGAGGAAAAAGTCCACCCAGTTCATCGATCAACGTAGTCTGTACCGCCCTGGTGGTGGACGGTTGCACTCCAAGTGCCTTGGGGACACTTGCAGAGGGAACTGAGCTGTGGCTCTCTTTCCTGGTGGGTCTGGGATGGGTGTGCACTAACGGCATTTGCGATTGAGGCTGCTGCTGCCTGGCCAAGCTTGACTCCTGTGACTGCAAACAATTGTGTATTTGAAATGTGTCACCTGGAGAAGCAGCGTACCTCAGGGAGCAGACAGTGGGAACGACAGCCAATGCCTTCTGTTTATAACATTCGCGGTTTGACTCAGGAGCACCTGCGAGTTTCCAGGCGTTCCACACTCGACCATTCTTTAATCAGAATGTGGAACGACTAGCACACTTCCCAATACGTAAAAGTGGACCAAGGGTCGACTCTCCCTCGTCTACCTTTCTGGGTTTTTTCACTATGACCCAGTCCCCAACCAGAAATCTGGGGTTCTTTGCTGCTTGACACTTGTCGGTGGGCTTCTTTCTGTTTCGTTTCCTCTGTTGCACTCGCCGTCACAGCCACTTCAAGAAAGAGTCCACGAGCGTGATAGCGTAGGGGCATGCTGGCTCTTCTTGCTCAGAGGGGGCTACAAATTCAATGTCTACCTTAGACCCACGTCAACTTGGCAAGAGATTCTTTTGCAGAGGGGTCGGTGATGACCTGGCACTCCTGCGTGAGGTGCTGCAGTCTTCACAGGTGCAGACTGCGCTACGCACTTCTACATTCATGTGGGGCCACCAGTAAAGTGCAGAAAGACGTGCCTGCATCTTCACAATGCCATTATGACCATGTGCTTGAAAAATAAGAGAGCATCGCATAGCCGTAAGATGGGCAACTTTTGTAGCACGGAACAAGAGCCCGTTGTTCACTAAGAGTGTGTCTTTCAGGTCGTAGAACACGGCAGCATCAACAGATAGAGTGCTTACCGGTCGCCACTGTGAGGTCACATATCCCATGACGGTAATGAGTAGCACATCATTTGCAGTCTCCTCTTGCAGATGTTGCTTCGAGATGCAATCGTCTTCTGCAGCGACAAAAGAGACATCCCCTCAACCTCATCATACGGACAGGGCTGGAGGGATTGTTTAAAACTTCTACAAACGCTTGAAAAATGCCCCCGACAACCTCGGTTGTCGAAGTGACGACCTTTGGCTGGGCACACGCCATAGCCCTTCCTGCGTTCCTGATCGTAACCGCAGTTGGCACAGGTTCTGCCGTAGCGGTTGTACCGTGGATGTAGTTGCCACCATGGGGATTCGAAATGCACCAATCGACGAAATTCCGACCATCCGGAGCTGCGTCGATGATTGACACAGTCGAAACCAACGTCATCGCTGTGATCGCAGGCTACTCAACTTCATTGGGCAGACGAATGCGTGGCACGTGCATTTGATGACCTAACTGAGGAACGCTGCATTGGAGGTCGGACAAGTGACTCACGGCACGAGCCCCGCGGCTCGTGCAGCGATCACGTCATCGACGAAGGAGGATGACAGCAGGCTGGCTGACTCGGTGCGGATGACCGCCATGTTTCTCTTTCACGCTGTGTCATGTGGCAGGTCACGTCCTCCTGGCGCCATCAACAGCGCAGCCGTGGTCGCCATGGCCTACTATGAAACTTCGTGGCGTGCGCATTCCATATTGATCACTGTCTGCAAGATGACGCTGAACGGAAGCACAGCGTCTAGAAGCAGTCGTTCTTGGATCTTTGTGGAAGCAGCTCCTACCATAAACCGGGGGTGCGAATGGCGACCTCAATGTCAGCGTCGAAGTTCGCCAGCGCGGGCAATGCTTGGAGGACTGAGAGAAATTTGCGCAGGGTTTCTCCTTCTCGTTGTTTCCTCATGTGGAATCGAATTTGTTGCAGGGTCTTGTTGATTGGCTGCAAAAATTTAGCCTTGAGGACCCTGACAGTCTCGCTGTACGCATCGCAAGATGCCCGTTGAACTTGCTGTCGATCTCCCGCTGGTGACATTGCTTGCTCCGGTCCCACGGGAGCTGGTAGAGAGTCATTGACACGCTGTCCTTCGGCCCCCAAGCATTTAGTACCTTTGCCTGGCATCGTCCGGCTGAATATCCGTGAGCGCCAAGCCAAGATGTACCTTTTGAACATCCGCAGCCAGGACGTTGCCCAAAAAGTTTGGTGGTGGCCTGTCACAGTTAGCCATGCTTGCTGTTAAGATGGCGGCTCAGCAATCCAGGAAGACGTTTGAAATCAAATGCGCGGCCATCAACGAGCAGCAGCCAAGGTTCCTTGGTGAGCCCGGAATTCTGCGGAAGCAAATGTCGTCGCTACGCCAGGCACCTGCCAGCGAGAGCTTATACCGAACGACGCATAGTATGTGGCCTCGGGGAGTGAGGATGCCCAGATTCAGCATCCTCGTCGCCAAAACTGTGGGGGCAGTTCTGGTGGCTAGGATGGTGAACACGAAGAAAGAGATATGGAAACTGAGCTGAACACAACACTTCTCACTTTTGGAAAGCCTTCCTATTACAAATTTCACTGAGTAAAAAAAAAAAAAAGAAAACCATTGTAATGAGTTGTTTGTAAGGATTAAAAATATTGTTTCATCATTAAATTTGTGGTTTCTGAATAAAAGGGCATGTTATGGGCTTTTGTTGCTATACTATAGACCAGTGGTTCTCAACCATCTATGTTTCGCAGACCCCTTGTGGATCGGCGGAGATGATGGAGGACCCCGTTCGTGGTGAGGGGAGGGGAAAGGTATAGGTTAAATATAATAATGATTTAATAAATGGATATAACTAAGGGCTAGTGTGAAGTAGACCTCTCTTATTGATATACGCACGAGAAAAGTCGACCCCAAAATTGAAACATTTCTTCTTGACCTGAGAAAAGACTAGTTTTATTGACGGACTTGACTGATGATGCAGGGCTTCGCAGACCCTTAGATTGCCTTCGCGGACCCCCGTTTAAGAACCACTGCTATAGACAAAAATGAATTCTACTTTGCATGCAAAGACTGTCTTCTTCTGTGCAAGTCATAACACAGAATGGCTATAAACCAAATAGAGCTCCTTCTTTTTGAAGAGTTTGCTTATTAGATTGCAGTTTGGAGCGTGGGCAGAGAAAGCTCTCATCTCTGCTCATTTCTATTTGAATGGGCATCATACTGGTATGCAGTCGTGTAATCACTGTTGCTTGATACATACTAAAAAACCCATATCAGCAGTTATACCACGACGACCACATTGCTTCTTTAAAGCGTTCGACCACTGTCTCCATACCTTGGGGCCAAACCAACCTCCAGCTGTGTTAACATTCATGACGTCCAGCTTTTTGAAAAACTTATCTCGAATATTCATTCAAAATATTTACTTCTCTAACTAGATAAAGGAGGAATGTCATTTAATTTTTTGGTTTAAAGAGAATGTAACCAGCTTTTACTTCTGTTCCACCAATGGAAAATGCATGGATGATGTTCCATCATTGCTCCCAACAAGAGCACATTGCAAGAAGTTTCAAGGGTGTCATTCCTTGGAACACTGTTTTAGGTTACACTATTTTATTGAGTGGTAGGAATGTGACAGAGGGGCCAGCTGTATGAATGCTTTACTCTTGGTTTATTCATGCAACAGATATTTTTCTCCAGTGAAAACTGCGCATTGGGAAAGCTGCGAGAAGATGAAGATGATTCAGAAAATATGCCCGAGACTTCACATGTCAAAGCCACATGTAGTCCACTCAGCGGAGTTTCTTTCTTTTCGTCACTGTTTGTAACCTTCGCAGACTACTCATACAAAAGAAAGAGCAGAATGAAAAAAAAAATGATAGAGCCCACCCATTTTACGTGAAGATGGAGGACCAGCGAAGCTGTTATCTTTACGACAAAATCGACTAGTTTCCACTTGGCATCGGCGGCCCGATGTTCGTCGGTCATTTTTGCTTGCCAACGACGCTCACTCTCCCGCTTCTGTTGCCGCTGACGCTCTAAACGGGCACGTTCTTCGTCGGTGAGTGGAGGATCAATCGAAGCCGATGGACCCAAACCATCGGCCGCACCACGTTGGGCCTCTGCGCGTTCGGCTTCTCTATGCTTTCGCACACATGCGCACTGTTGAGCGCTCCGATGATCCTTGTAGGCGCGCTCTTCCCCTTCAGAGCGAACAACATGCGGCCTACCCATGGCGAGTCCAAAGGGCAACTGATAATGTCGCTAGGAAATTGCTACGTCAAGAGACAAAGGAACAGAGCCATTGGTTGGTAGCCATTTTAGCTTTTACAGCGACGTTACAGCGAATTGTTATATTGATTGAATAAAGACACATATATATATATAAATGTGATGAGCTCTTTCAATACACAACATTGTAAGTTCTAAACCAAATTTTTCAAGGTACATCTTGAGGACAGGTTTTTCCGATTAAGCCCAAGTTTCTTTATTAGCATCGCGGAAGCGAAAGAAAAGAAGGTTAGTTCGGCGCGTTCTGCCCTCAGCCTCGTCGCAGTGCACTCTTAGCCAAGATAAGTCAGTGACCGTAGATGATAACAAGGAATCAGGACTTCACTATCTAATAATGCCAAGGAAGTCTGACTCATGCAGGTTGCCCCCTCTATTTATACTTGCCACAACCAATCGGAACCAAGGAGCGCCGTTTAAACAAAAGGTTTTTGTTAACATCCATGGATGCATTTTTTTCCGGATCCTAGCACATAACAGCTTTGCTGTAAAAAGAAGGCACTCCACAACTCAATTCTGCTATCTATAATCCTTTCCCGAAAGGGGAGGGTTCAAGCAGTCCTAACATCACTAGTCACTTCGAGGGAACAGACAGCGGATATTCTGTGAGACAGCCGCAAATTGTTTGTTTCTCTCCGCGGACTCGAGGGTGGATTAACAAACATCCGTGGCACAGCGCACGTGACCTCTAAACTTGATGGCGTTTAATCATCTTGGAGAAAAAAAATCTCCTTTCTGTTGGATACACCATTGGTGTGGTAATATTTGCTTGTCCTGCATTAGTCGTTTTCTGGTCTTCGAACTTCATTTTCATGTAAAAGGTTTTTGTTTGCAGTTTCTAGACGTCAGTAAGGAGAAAATCGGGGACTTTGTTTTGTGAAGTTCGTGCAACAACCACCCACCACTCATTTTGCGATTTGCATTTCTTGTGAAAAGATGCCCCCATTTCGGTTTAAACACTAAAGTCACTGACAAAGTGACAACGGCAGAGCGTGTCAGGATGTCTGGACTCCACTCGGGGTGCACGAGACGTAGAAGCGTTTTCAAAGGTAGGAAGCTTGCTCTGGAGGCGGGACAACTCGAGCTCCTCCCTGCCGGTCTCACCTTGTCAGTGACTATTGGCGACGAGATGTTTTGGTGGCGCCACCTCACAGGCGCCCTCCTGTGACGCAGCTGGTACGTTGCAAGCAGACGACGTGTTATGTCAAAGGACGGAGTCGCTATGTTAGTTCGCACCTATGCCATTTAAGAAAGTCTTATTTATTAAAGAAATATGTATAAACTTTTTGTAAGTGATCTTTCTAATAAAATACAGCGTCTCAAAGTTGCTTTTTATATTAGAAAAACTTTAAAATGTTTAAAAGCAAGCTTGGAGCTTCACATACAAGCTTGCGTGGCTATTCACAGCCTTTATGATTCTTGTATTTTCGCGCACAGTTGTGTTACAAAGTTCCACACACTTGTTTTAGCTACATTGAGCTTGCCAATACCGATGCTTCTATCCAAGTGTGACTGCAGTTGCTGCCGAGCAAATGCTCGTGAGCAACTCACACTTAGCTCTTCCCAAATCGAATATGTGGCAAAGAAGTTTGTCACATTGCCACTTCTGTAAAAAAGAAAACCAGAAATTTTTATAAATTCTTAAATTGTCGGCCATGATCTGGCAAATTCAGGCAATTGATCTATCATATTTTTACTAAGAATTGTTTACAAATTTAAAATCGCTCGCTGAGAAGCGCATCGCGCATTATGCGCATTAGGGTCCACAAAAATGAAACATACAAACGGTAGTACTAATTCATAGCAGGTGTATTCCTTATTTTTTCGGATTCTGAAGTTTCACCGACTTCTTAGATTTAAGACTTTGACTTTGATTGCAAAGGGGTCTCGCACGTCTTGCGTCGACCGGGTGTACAAGCAGGGATTTCAGTTGAAACAACGCTGGAAGCCAGCCACTGCTTCCTCCTGCCAGTTATTTTGAGGAAATGTTTGTTTACTAAATTACTAAATTAAAAAAAAAAAAACAAAAAAAAAACTTGAAATTAATAAGAGGTTAGCATTCACAGAACACATAGGAACCAACAGTATACACGGAGTCACTTTCACTGAAGTGTTTACTACACATGCGAGTTCTCAAATTTTGCTTTCGTATTTTCAGTTTGATGAGACATTCCATTCATAGTTTTATTTTGTCCGAATCATAATAAAAAAAAAATGCACCCTATTCGCCGTGGTAGATGTTGTAGTGGCATAAAGTGCTATGGGGCTAAGGGTTAGTCAAGCCTCCATTGACGCTTTTTACCCTTTGCTCCACCATTAAACATGGAAATAAACTTATTATTATATTCTATTTTGTACTGAGATAGAGAACAGCACACCACCATCCGAACACTTTGACATCTCAGCGCCAGAAATGTTTGTTGGCACGAGTGAGCATGCCACGTACGGTTTCAAACTTTGGTAAAATGTCTTCCTGCAATTACCATTTCACCAAATAAACACAACGCGTGAAACGCTTTTCTGTGCATTACCCAAACAGCGCATGAAGTGAGCTGACTAGCTTGGGGATCCAATATCTGCACGGTCTGTCCCAGTGTGTCCTACCCGTGGCGTCACAAACGATGATGATGATAGCTAGAGAGGCACCCCCTGTAGTTTGCACGCGCCGCTAATAGAATCCGTATGAGAAGCTGTCATTTCTGGCAGCCTGGAAAGTGTGTTTGGTTTCACATATCTACAAGGTGCGTTGTCCTTGGGTAAGTGGAACTGTTAAAAAGAGAAATGATTTTACCCAGTCCCTAAATATTTTGCTGTGTATGGGGGGAGAAGGGGTGGGAGGGGAAGGGGCGGGTGTGAAGGGGGGAGGGGAGGGGAGGGGAGGAGAAGGGTGCGGGGGTGGAGGCCATTTTAGGGTTTCGAGATATTGATTCATATATCAATATCTGTCTTCCCCAGACTTGGCTGCAAAGCGCGACGAGTCCAGCGAAGACAGCACAGAGGCACCCCTCAAGAAGCTCAAAGTGGGCAATGAAGGATCCAAGGGGCAATAGTGCCAGCCACAATCACACATGCCATCCTCTGCCTGCATGGTTCCTGATACCCGGTCAAGCTGTATTTTTCTGCCAAGATCTGTGAATAGTGTGCTTTGAGTGTGCAAGACGTGAATATGCCTCGATACCTACAGGCCAACAAAAAGACTAAATTTGTTTTGTTTTTTCCCATGGTTGTACTTTTTTTTATACAATTGCTACCTGTTTTAGGGCCAGTAGTATGAGTGGAAAGTAAGCTTTGGACTTCTTCCAAAACAAATGCTGATTGGAGTGCATGAGGTGCCAATCATTGTCATAAATGAAACCTGCCAAGCGTCCTGTCAGAATTTCAATTGTCCATGGCAGTGTTTGTCAATTTTAAGACATGTTTTCAAGTGTGGATTTTCAGACTGGGTTCTGAGGAACTCAAGTCTCCAACTTCCCTGAAGCACACCCATTCCTAGTAAAATGCTTTTTTTCTTCTACTCCAAACACATTTTAAACATAGCTGAACCGTGCATTTATGTGTGGCTATGGACGCGACGCTCCCACCAAGTTCCTGATTGTGTTTAATATTGATAACGAAGTTTGAAAAACTTTTAAACTGCTTGATTGCAAGTTTGTCAGGAGGAAGGACAGAGACATAGTTCTTGGTTCTTACTCAATGTGTGCCCAAGGCACGGTGGAAGAGATGGGTGTCGGAACAAGACCAAAAAGGCTGTCGCAGTCGCACTCCAGCTTTGTGCATCTCTCGGCAGGGGCACTGTCTAGTTGGGCGCAGGCACTCGCAGCCTCGAAAACATGCGCACCAGGGTGTCTAGCGACCAGGAAAACCGGGAAAACCAGCAATTGTTAGGGAAATTTTAATTACCAGGAAAAATCGGGGAATTGTCAGGGATATTGTCAAAAAATGAGCCGGATATGCCATCGAGTGCCCTGAGCAAAGGCTTGAGGACTTGGGGGCAAAAAATAGACAATAAATTCTGCTTAGAGCGGAGCGCAAGCTCTGCTCACCCGATGTGGAGCATGCTACCCGATGCAAAGAGAACAGCCGACAAATCCAGTCCAACCCATACTGTGCATTGGATTGTATTGAATTGAGGGTGCGACCTGAGGCTAGTTCCAGTTAGAGCCACTAGATTTAGTAATGGAAAAGCCGCAGACCCCAATCCAATCCAAGCCTTAAGTCAAAGGTATCCGAAAGTGTGCATCTGGTGGCCATGCTGTTATTCAGTTATTGACGTGTGTGGCTGAGCGTCGCGTTTCAGAGTGTTTCCGGAAGTGGCTTCTACACTAACGATGTCGGTGGCAAGAAAGTGCTCGTTTAATCCGGACTGGATGAACTCGAATATTTAGAAATATGCAAGTTTGATTAAGCTCGTGCAAAATGATCCTCACAGTGCTCAATGCTCAATGTGCTACAAAACGTTTTCTTTGAGCCACATGGGAAACACGGCAGTTTCTAGTCGTGCATCGAGCAAAAAGCACCTTGCTGCTTTGAAGTCTCAGTCAAAAGAGCGCTGTGAGAAGGGCCGAGATAGTTTGGTGGTTAAACTCGGTAGCGATTCGTGGATCCCTTCGTTCTACTGCAGCATCAGCCCCACTCTCCCTTCTCATGTTTCCCGCGTGTGAAGTTGCTGCAACACTTCAGTTAGGCAAGGACAAGGTAGGATATACCAAAAAATGCCTTGTGTTCTAATAGTCATATATTTAACCGCCTCTAAAGTGGTCAGGGAATTTCACCTGAAATTGTGAGGGAAAACCTGGAAAGGTCAGGGAATTTTCAAAATAAGAATTTGCTGGATACCCTGCACGCAAATGAGGGCGGTTCCTCGAGCCCCTGTCCTGCTGCACCACCCCGCAGCGTTTGTCAGAAATGGGAGCATACTTTCGGACACACTTGCTCGGTGTGAGGCAGCACCGTTCAGACACCTCTTTCTCATCATCTGTTCCGAGGACAAACCATGCCAGCACACTACAATTTTAGTGAGCTTTGAACGTAAATGATGGCATATGTAGAAGTAAATGGCGATGTTTTCAGTAGGTGTGTGTGAATAGCAGTTCGAATTGAATAGTGCTGCGTCACTTATATAACCTTGGCAGTGAGTGCTAAGGGAAACCCCCGACGTACCCGCTGTCTTTGCGGTATGGAAGCTACGGATGACGCTGTAATATGCAATTTGAAGCAGTATTTGCACACCCATAGTTTCCGGGTTTAATATCTTGCAAACTTCGCTGTAACTAAGTTTTGTGATCAGGTCTATGCTCGCCTATTTATTCTATGCCATGGGCAAAATATTTTGTGTGATCACTCTTTTGCATTTTGTTGAATCCCCATATTTGGGAAAATAGTAGCTAGTGGCCTCTAGTGATAATTGCTCATTTTTAATTGTCTGCAAAAGGTATTGGGAAAATCCATGTTTTTGTATTAGGGCCAAAGGTTGGTTGTATAAGTCAAATTGTTGGTTGTTTAGTTTAATCTCAATGCAACTGATGGCAGCCTTATGATGGATAATGAGGAACATTGATCATTGAATAGAAATCATGCATATTTTAGAAAGTGGAACAATTTTAATTATTTATTACGTTACAATGGGCATTCTCTTTGGATTTGAAGTTTATATCTTGTTTGTGTATTTAATATCAATGCAACAATAGATTAACCAGAATATTGCATGGTTGCGCATCACTTGTTTTGTGCATGCTGATGTGTTAGAATGTGTCACCTGCACACCACATTAACGATATAGCTCTCGGGTACTCCAAACCTAATAGGTAATGATAGAAGACTGTGCCGAATTAGTGTAAATAGTATGTGAACCAGAATTAACTGTCTGAATCTTGTCGACCACCCTTAGTGCACTTGTCATTCATCACTTAGTTTGACGAGCGATGTTGCTGTATTATTTTTTCTAAGCTGTTCTCAGCACTTTTCATAATGTGGGTATTAACCATTGCTCCTTGTTTGTACATACAATTCATCTTTATGAACACCTTCGGCCCCTGACGAAGGGTTGGCCATGCATCGCGTGTGTGAAAATAAGCGTGCTTTACACCATTCGACACAGCAGAATAAAGACAATTTGCATCCGGTAGTGGTTCTGCATTTGTTTCCATTAATTTATTTTTTGCACTTGTTGGAGACATTCTTTTTAAGGCGCCTGAAATCGTGGTGATATTGAGCGTGGTTGACATCAGGTCACAAGTGTAAAAGATCATTGGCGAATTAATTACCTATAATCCATTCATACAGTTTTGAAATATTCACCCTCTATGTCACAGTCCAATTAGAAATTTGTTGCCCGCCGTCCAAATATGCCGCAGTGGTCCCCGCTATAATCTGGTTAATTTAAGCCGTTAGGAAACCGAGATAGCGAAACCAAAACGATAAGATGTGACGGAAATCCCACCCGGTGATGTTGGGCGCGGGTAGCGAATCATCGCAATGGCAGCGGCACGTCAGCAGGCAGCCACACTGCTCGTACATCAATAATGGAAGTGCTACGCCATGAACAAAATTGTGCTACATGAGCAGTGTGGCTAGTTGGTTCATGACAAAATGGAACAGCGCGGAACATAGGACAGAAAGAACAGCGCTCGTGTTGTCCTGTTCTTTCTGTCCTATGTTCCGCGCTGTTCCATTTAGTTGTGCTACATCTTGCGTTGAAATGCTATTTTTGCTAAGAATTGTGCCACACCTGTGCCGAGATTGCAAAGCAAAAAAATAAGATTTTATGATAGACCATCTTCGAAATGATGCACAGATTATGTGCGGCCGCCATTAATTGGTCATGTGCTGTGAGCACGCATTGGACGCGAGCGCTTCGTCAGCATTCAAAGTGTACTTGGACCGAAGCGCATTACACACGAGTGCTGCGTCGTTCGGCGCAAACTCGGAACCACTCACGGGCTTCGCGCCTGAAGCGACGAGACCAGCTAATGGCGGCTGCGTATAATCTAGTTGCGGTGACGTCAGAATGACGCCGACCCCTGATTGGCTTTCATCGAAAGGATAGTAGGTAGACCTCAATGCTAGATACCTTGAGGTCAACCCACTATTTTTTTTTTTTTAATCAGCCAATAAGAGCTCGGTGTTCTGACAGGATCGCAACCCCTGTGCAAGAAGCAGACGAACTTGCGCTCCGCATAGACCACTTTTGAAAGTCACGTGCCTATTATAAGAAGATCGGAGCCACTGCACAATGGCGGAGCAACTGACATCGTGGAGCGTGCAAGTCATTCCATAAGATTGCTAACGTCGGAGCGCGGCCATCGCTAGGAGCTGACGAGCCAATCAAACAGCGTCGAAAGTGCACTGTCTCTCCGCTCGTCACTTTTTTTCTGTGGATGTGTTTTTGTCTTTTAACCCAACGCAACACACATACTGTGCCTTGACGTAGCGGTTTGAGTTCGTCATTGTACAGGGTTTCCACAGCTACCAACAGAGGGCAGTCTTTGGAAAAGGGTCAATACACCTTTGCAAGTGGGATCCCGGCTTAACCTTGAACCGCACGCCAAGGTGAGTCGGACCTACACTCCAGCCAGGACGTTCGCTGGTTGTCGTACAATGTTGCCAAGCGTCTCTCGCCGAAGCGCACACCACTGAGCGCAGAAAGAAATTTAAAAATAACTACAAAACGTACACGTGTCGTCTTCGACCGAGAAAGAGCACGGATAATAAATAAAATGCCTAAACCGGTAACAAATCGAAAAATTTCAAAAAGATCTAAAGTCTTAAGGCGCTCTTCAGAATCCGCCACAAGACGCATGGCCTTTGCATCAACGATGGCTGCGCTCGAGACAGCTCTGGCTTCCACAACCTGCAGGAACAGAGGCTGCGATCGTTATAGGGTCAGCTCCAACCCTTAAAGATGCCCCGTCCTACAATATGTGATGCTACGATTCTGTGTGGATACCTCCTCCTGCGTTCCGAGACAGTAAGTGTGCCGCTAACGTTAGCCATCGGCGATGCAGCAAACGGCACCATGTTGTCATCGCGCACCCCACTGACGTGCCCCTGGCGCACCCCAGCATGGCGGAAACGGTACGGGGCGCCAGCATCGCTCAAAATGGCAGCGCACAGGAGCCTTTCTTGCAAACGTGTATTGGTCGACCTTAAAGGGATACTACAACGAAATTTCGGCGCTCATTTTTTTGGTCTATATGTGTTCAAAAGAGCAGTATTACATGGAACACACCAATATCTTGCTAAAAAAGTTTTGAAAAGGAATTTTAAAACGAATTAAACGATTAGCAAAGAGCACCTGGTGGATGTCGCTAACGCCTCGTTTGTAATGCTCGCCTAGGAACCTTGACAGCTAGTGACGGAGGTTGTCTCGTCTCCGGCCTCGACGAGAGAAGCGGGGAAGGAGGAACTCCCCTCTTCCCGAGAATCCCTTTTGTGTGTCGCAGAAGTCGCTATTGTCCCCCTAGAAGATTATAGAAGATTAACCCGTCACTCAAAATTTGTACAAAAGCAGCCGCTTCGGTGGCTCGAACGACTAGGCCATCCTCTCGACGTCAGCCTCGCCGTAGCTTTGCTCGTCTTGAGACGACCTACGTCACGATTGCGTTGGATATCACGTGCTCTAAGCTGGGCCTTCTCCGAGCGCTTGCCAAAGTGGGCCGTTTATAACGAAAAATACAGCCACCAGGATCAAAATACAAACGTGCGATTGTCATTTACGGATGTTGTGGATCATATTCAACCTATTTTTGAACACGACGGGAATATTTCAAATTTCGTTGAAGTATCCCTTTAATATCTAAAGAAGTAGGAGGAAAGGAAAATGGTACAGATATGTATCTCGCAGTGTCTGTACTCGTATAGTTAATTTCATCTTAGGTTAGAGCTCAGGCGAAGGCTAGAAAACACAACTATGAACACATATTAAAAGCGCAAGTCATGGGACATTCCCTGTGTACTTGATTGGTTTAGTCGTTATCAAACTTCTGTAGCAACTATTAACACACATTCATAAAATTGCCGGCCGAACAGCAAGTTTGTCACTTTGAACACAGGTTCAGAACGACGACCCCCCCCTCCCCTTATCTTCTGAAAACTACAATCTTGATGCTGTGTAATGCAGGTTACAGAAACGTTGTGGAAGCTAATCGTAAGCTCGCGTTAAGGCCACGGTCCCACTGAATGTGGCAGTTTAGGTACTTTTTGGCAGGTCATTACTCATCTCCTTTTAAATACTGCTTTGTGGGATTGATATCATTCAAAAGGCAATGCAATCGTCTTTCATTTGATATTATGTATCTGTTGGTTTTTACTGTTCATGCGCATTTGTAGCGCTGTGAATATGATGGCGCGGACCCTCACTTGCTCCGCTAGTTCATGTTTTATGAACGATCCATTAAAGATAACACGGTTCCAATATAGCAGTTTTGTTAAGATGATGTCGGAGCATAATGTAACGATACACTTTTTTGGTATTTGCACTACTTTGTTTTTTTCATCCCTCCAAATATTGCCCTAAAATTGACATTTTCAGCTCAAATATGTCTTTAATGACACGCGCTAGGGCAATGAAATTAGCTACAGGTGTAGTGCTTATAATTGGTAATATGCAGAAAAAAAAATTAATGTTGTGCAAAACTTTTTTGTTTAGATATTTTATATCAAACGTAGCACTTTTTTGTGCTTGGAGTGACTGTACTTCAAATGCCGCTGAGGAAATAATTAAACTATGATAAAATATTTTATAATATTTAGAGCTACAATGGTTGCCCGAGAGGTGGACGATGGCTTTTTCTCATTTTCAAAGTCATAACGCTCCAGGAGCGTTTCAAACTTACCTGTTTTGACGGATATCTTTTTTGGACATCAAACTGATTTATTGGCATTTCATAATATTTATTGTTTGGAATAGATATACATTGCGATGTATTAAATTTTCACAATGATCTTGCTTTGGTTTCTTAATAGGTGTAGAGCTTAGTCAATTTTAAAAAACAATTAAAAACTGTTTGGGTATTTTGTTGCGCTACCTGGCGAATAGCAGACAAACTGCTGATTTCTAATGTTCAAAAAATTTCCGAGGGCGGCGTTGGCGTCTGTATCATCATCAATCTCCGTGTCTTTTTACCTTCACATGTAAAAAATATATTGGAAGATTTACTATCGATAACTGAATGGTTTAAGTACTGGGTCAGGCTAATAAATCTAAGACAAATAATTACACAAGCGTAGCGTGATATAATGTGTTCATTATTCGATATGATTGAAATCAATAAACAATGAAGACGAAGAGGAAAAGAATACACCCGACTTCACTTTATGCCTAGAGTCACTATATGAGCTTTAAAATATCGGCACTCCGTTCCCCAAAATTGTTTTGGGCGCCGCCATTTTGGGTCTTGCTCAGAGCAAACGCAACTGCCGATCATCATGATCCAAAAGTACGACTTCCTCAGCATTAGATGCGGTGCTAAAAAGCTGATGAAATATTGCAATGCTCTGTCGCGGGTTGTTTAAACATTTGTGAGGGACGGAAAAGCGTTTTCTGTGATTTTAGATAAAGCTTCATATAACTGGCAACCATGATTTTAGGCCACGATATGGCCAAGTGTCGTTACTCTTTAGCTAATTTACTGGCACAAGCTGGATCAATGAAGAAGAGGCAGGTGTCAAAAGGTAGTGGCTTGTGGAATCCACGGGGCTTACGTCATGGCCCCTCCAGGTATTACAAGCCTCTTGAACAAGAGCATGAATAGTGTCATTAAATAAGCTACGCTTCAGAGTAGCGACACTTGGCCTTATTGTGGCTTAAAATCATGGTTGCCAGTTATTTGAAGCTTTATCTGAAATCACAAAAAACGCTTTTCCGTCCTTCTCTTTAAACAGTTTGCGACAAAGCAAAGTAACATTACATGAGCTTCCTAACACCGAATCTAATGCTGAGGATGTCGCACTTTTCAATCATGACGATCGGCACTTGCGCCTGCCCTGCACAAGCACCAAAATGGCGGCGTTCACAACACTTTCGGGGAAGAGATTGCCGATACTCTAAGCGCAGCTCATTTATTGGCTCTAGTTCCCGCGAAACTCCTTTTTCCTGACTGAAACTGAAAGTAAATATAAATAATT